AATGTCTAGTAGTTGAGAATCTATTGGGTCCGGGGTTTTTTTTCTTTTTTGGAAGGCTCTTTATTACTGCTTCAATTTCATGGCATGATATTTGTCTGTTTAGATTTTTTGTATTCTCTTGATTCAATTTGGAAGGTATCTGTGTCTCAAAATTTATCAAAGCTTTTAGATTTTACAATTTATAAGTTTTCAAAATAATCCCTAATGGTTCTCTCAACTTTAGAAATGTCTGTGATGACATCTCTTTTTTCATCTCTAATTTATTGACTTCATATTCTCACTCTCTTGTTTAGTTTGGCTATTAGTTTATCAGCCTTACTTATCTTTTCAAAGAACCAACTCTTTGTTGCATTGACCTTTTGTATTTTTTCATTCTCTATTTCATTAATTTTAGCTCTGATCTTGATTATTTCCTGTCTTCCACTGGCGTTGGAATTCATTTTCTCCAGCTTTTCTATGACCTTGAGATGTACCACTAGATTGTTTACTTGATATTTTTCCTTTTTAAAAAATGTATGCACCTAATGCTATAAACTGTCCTTTTAGAACTGATTTTGTACTGTCCCAAAGATTTTGGCATGTTGTATCTCTATTCTTGTTTGATTCTAAGAACTTTTTAATTTCCCCTCTTATTCCTTCTCTGATCCATTCTTCATTTAAAAGACTATTGTTTAATTCTATAAGTTTGTGGGGTTTCTATAATTTTTATTACTGTTGATTTTTAATTTCATTTCTATATGATCTGATGAGATGGCCAAGAGAATATCAGTTTTGTTCTGTTTTCTGAGACCTACTTGGTGATCTAAAATATGCTCTATTTTGGAAGAAATTCTATGAAATGCTGAGAAGAAAGAATATTCAGCTGTTATTGGATGAACTATTCTATAGACATCTCTTAGGTTCATTTCATTTATAGTATTATTTAGTCTGGAAATATCTATTGATTTTATATCTGGATGACTTATCTATTGGTGAAACGGGTATCACCAATATTATTTATTGGAGTCACACACGTTTTGGGGTCTCTCTAGGAGGGAATGACAAGAAGTGTATGCTTTATATAACTAAAAGTATTGACATTTGGGGCATAAATCTTAACTGCAATATCTTCTTTTAAAAATTATTTATTTTTTAGTTGTAGGTGGACACAGTATCTTTTTTTTTAAATGTGGTGCTGAGGATTGAACCCAGTGCCTCATGCATGCTAGGTGAGTGTTCTACCTCTGAGCCACAACCCCAGCCCTATCATATCTTCTTGTTGAATTGTTTTCTTTAACAATGTGTAGTCTCCTACCTTGTCTCTCTGACAATTTTTTACTTGAAATCTGCGTAATTTTGGACTCCACTTGTATGGAATTTCTTTTTTAATTCTTTTAATTTCAACTGTGGATGTCTTTGCCTACAAGATGAGTTTCTTGCAAAGTGCATATAGTTGGATCTTGTTTTTTAATCCATTCTGCCAGTCTGACTTTTAATTGGAGAGTTGAGATCACTTATATTCAGTTATTATGCAGAGATGTTTATTATTTCCAGCCATTTTGGTTTATTTTATAAATTTAATTTGTTCTTAATTTTATTTCACTTAATTACTCTTCTGGAGAATTTTATCCATTTGAGAGCTTTGGAATTTATTTTTCAGTTTTTCTTTGTGTAGTATTTCTGTAAGCATTTTCTATAGTGCTGATATAGTGGTCATGAATACTTAAGTCATACTATGAAAAATTTTTATTTGTTCTTTGATTTTGAATGTTAGTTTTACTGGATATGACAACCTTGCATGACAGTTGTTTTCTTTTAGAGTATGCATTCTCTCATTAAGTCATTCTGGATTTTAGAGGCTTGAGTTGAGCAGTCAAAAGCGAGGCTTATTAGTTTATCTCTAAATGTGACCTGACATTTTTCTCTTGTGACTTTTATTATTCTATCTTTATTATCTATATTATGCATTTTGATTATTATATGTCTTGGCGAGTTTTTTAAAAAATATTTTTATTTGGTGTCATGTAAACATCCTGTATATGGATGTCCATCTCATTCCTAAGGTTTGGCCAATTTTCTGTTGTTATCTCACTGAAAAGTTTCTTAATGCCATTAGCCTGTATCTCTATGCCCTCTTCTATCCTGAGGATTCTTAAATTTGGTCTCTTACTATTGTCACAGAGTTCCTATATTCTGATCTTGTTCTTTTATTTTTTATTTTCTATTTATTGAGTGGTCCACTTCACAGACCCTGTCTTTGAGGCCTGAAAATTATATTTTAAACATATTCTAATCTGTTGGTGACGCTTTCAAGTGAAAATTTTATTTGATTTATTGTCTTTCATTTCCAGAAGTTGTGACTGATTTCTTTTCAGAATCTCTCTCTTTTTGAATTGGTCTTTTACTTCCTGTATTTACTCTTAATTCTTTACTTAGGTATTTTATTAACCTACTAATTATTTTAATTAATATATTTTTATAGTCTTTTTTGAAATTTCATTCCCTTCAATGTCTGTGTGTTCCTTTGTTGGGGAATTGTAAACTTCAGGGGAAGACTTGTTTGCCTGTTTCCTCCTGTCTTTACAAGTCGTGGACTTGCACATGTTGAGAAACATTCCTCTTTCTCTATTGTGAGTGTGTCCTTTGTTGTGTAGTTCTCTTTTGTAATGAATCCTGTGTTGTTGATATCTATTAGCTTTGAGACAGACTCAGTTTAATCCAAGTGTTAGTTTAAACCACTTCAGTCACATCCACCAGACACACTCTAAAACTTCAAGGCAGGCACTTGCTGGAACAGTATGATGACACTTGTTATAATGCCACACAGAAGAAAACTGATGTGTGGCCACTTCAAGATATGCCTTAATTCTCTACTTAACAGCAGAGAAACATGGATCACCAGCTTGTTGCACTACCTCTGGATCAGTTAAATCAGACTGTCTATGTGTTCCACACATTCTCCCAAGCCAATTTTTTTTATGGTTTTTCTTTCTCTGCCTTTGTGACCTCTTCTCTCTACAGTGAATTGGCACCATCAGCACTACAAGCAAAACTTCAAGGATATTTTTTCTTTTCCTGTATTCAAAGCAACTAAATACATGCATTTCTGGTTCTGATAAAGGATTTCAGTGAATTCCTGCTATCACCCACTTTACTGGAAAGCAGTGCTTCCATTGCTTGAATCCCCAAAATGGAACAACTGAAAAATACACTCATCCTCTAATTTAACACATTAGATTTCCCCTACCATACTGTTTTAATTACTGTAGTTTTGTACTATGTTTTGAAGTCACGAACTATGATGCCTCAATATTGTGCCATTTTCTCAAGATTTATTTGGCTGGTCCTGGTCTTTTTTTGTTTCATATACAGAGTTTTTTTGACCTCCATTTTGATTATGGATTGTTGAGTAGATATATCAGGGTTTTATTCAGCATTTTGTAGATTTCTTTTTCATTTTCTAATATTGAGCATTGCAAATGAAAAATCTTCTATAAAGTGTTTCTGGAAATTTGTAGAGGTTGGAGATGGGGAAAAAGAGAGAGAGGTTTATTTTGATCTGAGTATTTACTTCTTCAGCTGAGGGAATTGTTGCTCCCTTATTTTTTGACTCAGTCTCTCTTTCTTGAACTTCTGTTATGGCTTTTATCATATCATCTATTTTTTTCTCTTTTTTCACAGAATTACATGGCTCAGTTTTCAACATTACCAACTTCAGCTATGTACACTTCAGCTATGTACACTATTACCAACTTCAGCTATGTACACTGTTTTCAATGTTATTTTGAAGTTTTGAATTATGCACATATGTTTTCTCAGAATTTCTGAATGCTCCTTTTCTTGGTAGCTTTCTGATTACATGGATGTGATATCCTCTCAAACTTCTCTGAAGATCATAGTTGGAATTTTCATTTAGTAGTCTCTTTTATTTCTTGCATTAGCTCTGTTTTCTGTGAGGTCAGAGTTTTTACTCATTTATCCTGGTGCTTCACTTTCATGCTATTTGTGTCTTATTTATTCATATCTTAAATGAGTTCCTAAATTTATTTGTATTAGTATTTACTGTTGTGGGGGGCAGTCCATGACAATTATAATATATACTTACCTATCAGGCATTTTGTCTGCATGCAATAGCTCACTCCAGGATTCTGTTGTGAGTGGACAATTTCAGAACAAATGGGAAAACCTTTCTCTCTCGGCTGCCTATGTAGGAAAGGAGCTACAATGGTGGTAGAGTAATTGGTAACAATTGTCCTGAGATACATCCCACAAACACCCTTTAAAAAAAAACTATAGATCTGTATACCCCTGAATTTCCTTTGAACACTGGCTTATTTCTCTTTTCTACTTTTAAATCCCTATTAGGGATCCAGGGTATTATAAAATACCCATACTTTCAGTGGAACAATAAAGTAGGCAGGCTTTTGCCTCTCATGTAAGCTTTATAAGGATAAGAATTTATCTATACTGTTTCAGCTTTTTCACTATACAGTGGTTAGAACATAGTAGGTATCCTGTACGTACTCAATAAGTTGGAACCACCTTCTAGAACTAAAAATATTTATGTGCTTTACCCAATAATTTTTCTTCTAGAACTTTATCCAAAGAAAATGTTCAGTGATGCTCACAAAACTTACTGCACAAGAATGTTCATGAGGTTTTTAATTGTGAAAATGAAAACAATTCAAAATTCCAATAGTAGTTTTCTAAAGTATTTATTATACATAATATGAATATTTAATAGAAAGTCTTTGTATTCATTCTTCCAGAATTACAATCTTCAAGGATCAGCAAAACATTTTTTATCTTAACCGAAGAATGACTTTTTTGACATACTTTCAGTACAATGACTGTAAATTATGCCTTTCAAATTACTGTACATTTTAGTAATGTTAACTCCCAAGTAGTTTTAAGAGAATAAAATTTCAAAAAATGTAAGAACAAATCAATGAAGCTATTTTTATGTAATTATAGTATAATGGGCATTCAGTAAATAGATAATATTTTTTATTTTATTCCAGAAAACAGCTCCTTGAACGTGGTGAGGTAAAGTTGTCATTTTTTTCTCTGGTAGACTTGCATATTAAACTCTCGTTCAAGGATAATTCACAAAGCGTAGCCTGGCTGCTGGGGCTCCCTTAGCAGTACTTGAGTTGTTCTGCAAGGGTGGTTCTTTTCCCTGTTCCACTTTCTTGCCCATTTATCACTTACTAATAGACTATATGAGGTTTATTTATTTTCTATGGATTCTAGTGGACTTATTTATTTTGTATGTCTATTTATTGTCAGTATCTTCATATTAAATTGTGCTCACATGTTAGCCTCACAAGGGTAGAGATTGCTCAGTGTTATATCTGAAGCACTCAGAACAGTGCCTAGCATTTAGTGAATAAATAAACATTAATAGACATTATAGTTAGAAGATCTTTGTTCTAATGAATAATAATGGTTTTAATATACTTTATACTTATTAATAATAAAATATAAAAAATAAGACTTTGTTTTGTTTTATAGCTGGTTTTTCACACTTTGCAGTTGATGGCATTTACTTCCCTTGCTGTTTTAATTATGAGGCTGAAACTGTTTTTGACACCACACATGTGTATTATGGCTTCCTTGATCTGCAACCGACAGGTAAGGCACCATCTTGTGCGAGTACACTATCATTTTGTAGCAACACTAGTATAGTTACCATGGCTTTGCTGAGTAATCCAAAACATAAAATGAGGCGCTTTAATTTAGTTAACTTAAATCATTAAAAATTTTAGTTAACAATTTACTATTGAGTGAGAGAAGCATCTTCAAGTGGCTTTAAATATTATTCCTTGATTGTAACTGATATTTCTCTGATGAGTGATTAGGTACACATTCCCCCTGTTTAGTATTCAACCCACAATATAGTCTTTCAGAGTTGTTTGTGCCAGTTTCCTGTCCACCAAAACCACCCTCGAGTATTCATTCAGTAGTGAACAGATACGAAATAATTGCTCAAGTATAGTCCTGTTTGGAACAGAGAATTCCTAAAAAAAAGTTGTTGATCCTGGATTCCCTTAGTGTATCTAACTCCAGATAAATTACCTGGAGTTTTGGAACCTATAGAAACATCTTATTTAGTTTTGATTATGAGTATATAGTTTGAAAATATCATAATGTTTGTTTTCCTGAGAGGAATATACATATTAGTGCTAATAAAGTTTCCCTGGTTCCCACAAGGCAACCAAATGTTAATGGATCTAGTGTTAGGATTTTTCAAAATTGTGTGATTTGATAATCCTAACCCCTGGTTACAAATCATTACTAGAAGGATCAGGTATGCCTTTTTTAATTCTTTTGAGAGGCCCAGTAATGTATTCATTGTTTTTAAGCAATAGCTGATGATAATTCTGTATTTATATACTGATATCAAATGTAAATCTTGGTTTAAGCAATAAGAATTTTTTTTGACTCAATAGCATTCTTCATATAAGAATTATAAATAAATGTGTGTGTGTTTTTTTTTTCATTTCAGCTCTTTGGCTGGCTTTTTTGCAAAGTTCATTTTGAGAATGTTATCTTTGGCATTCTGACAGTGATGTCAATACAAGGTTGTGCAAACCTCCACAATCAATGGAGCATAATAGGAGAATTTAATAATTTGCCTCAGGAAGAAATTATACAATGGATCAAATACAATACCAGACCTGGTATGTAGCTATTTAGTTATATGCATACTTTGTTTTACACATATACAGACATTTATATATACTGTGTAGTTAGGTGGTTAGCACTTTGTGTGTGTGTCTGTGTGTGTGTGCACAGACTGACTTACAGTAGTTTGACTTACAATTTTTTGTGTTTACACTAGCGAGGAAGCACTATACACATTCAGTAGAAACTGTCTTAAGCTTTGAGTCATGATCTTTTTCCGGGCCAGTTGCATTGAGAGTATGATACTCTCTTGAAGCTGGGCAGTGGCACTGGGCCATAGTTCCTACTACATTGCAGATAGCTTGTCTTGCATTTGCATTCACAGTTACATTTAGAATGCTGGGTTATATTTGAAAGTAAATAGTTGCTTTAGTAGATCTGAATAGCACACCTTGTTTGTATTGTGCTAATTAAAATGATAACAACCTTCACAATTAGAAGCATTTGTTCATTTGGTTTACCAGGAGACAAAACTGACACTGAAGCCAGATAGTTTTTTATGTAGTCCTATTTATGATTGAATTTATACATGCCTTTACATTAAAAAATAGTACTCACAAGTTATAAAATGATAGGATGAAATGTATAAATGGCGAAAACTCAAATGGCAATTGAGAGAACATAATTATGAATATTTAAAGATCATCTAAAGAAAGACATGTATCTGTTCTCTGGCACATAGACATGACTATATATCACAACATACAAAAATCATTTGAAAAAATGTACTATTGAGCCTTGACACTTAAAACACTTTCTCAGTCCCTAGCGTTTTAAATAATTTTAAATGCTTTAATTTCATGATAACTCATGTGATTTACATTGTCCCTTGTCCTGTGCATCTCTGTAGTACTGGCTCGTAATGTCATCCTGAAGCAAGATAGTGGAGTGCCTAAGGGTGTGAGCTTTGAAACTTTTAGCTGTACAATCTTAGACAACTCACTTTGCTGTTTGTCTGCTTCTTCTTCTACAAAGTAAGAAAAACAGAGAACTCACTTCATAGAGTTCTTATGCATATTAAATCATTGGCTTCTTATAAAAATACTGAGCACCATTCCCAACACCAAAATAACACTTAACAAAGGTAGATGTCATATGGTAGACAGTGAATACTGAGTGAATAAAATGAATGATATCAATGGTTCTTATTCAAGTAAATGCTTCATCTTGCTTAATTTAAATTCAGATACTATGGATAAGTTTATTTTTGGTCTTCTTAAAACATTTTATTAAGAAATGTAATCTTATTTTTCAGATGCTGTTTTTGCAGGTGCTATGCCTACAATGGCAAGCATCAAACTGTCTACACTTCATCCCATTGTGAATCACCCTCATTATGAAGATGCAGACTTGAGGTTAGCAATTGACTGAATATTTCACTCAGAATCATTTGCCTACTTGTTAACTTGTTCTTAGGAATAGGGGAAATGTTTGCACACACACACACAAACACACACTTTCATCTTCATATCATGTTGGAAATTAAAACGATTATAATCACTATCCAGAAATCATCCAATATGCACCTGTTTCCTTCAAAGTAGGTTTAATAAACATCTGAAAACTGAAAAATTGCACGTGTGTATGAGCAAGAGAACAGGCTGTGGTAAAACTCTTAGAAGCAGCTTTGACCCACAGCCAGTTTGCCAACCCCTACTCTAACACAGGTCCCTCTGCTTAACTTAAGAAACTTCCTAGATCTTATTGGTAGAAAAAGTAATGAAATTTGCCTTATTACATCTTTTGTGAAAATCTGGGGTATTTAACTGCTTATGAAAAATCTGATTTCCATTGTGGCATGAAAGTTTGTTTTCTATACATGACTGGCTTCCAAAAATCATTTTGATTATTCAATTAATGGTCAATGTAATCTTTTTCTTTTAGTGGATTTTTGGCCTATTCTTAAAGGAAAATTTTTAAAATATTTGAAGTTTTATGCCTGGTTGTGGTGATTGAACATCCCATATGCTTGAAGTCCTAAGTAACATTTAACATGTAAAGGGTGATTTGTTCATTTTTTCATAAGAACTTAAATTTAAAGTCAAATCATTCATTGTACCATATTTTGGTGAATATCCCTGTTCTGAAAAATCTGTAATGTGCTTCTTCTACCTCTCTGATACCCAGTGTCTAAATATTCTATTTGCTACATTGAACTTCAACTCATCTATTTTTCTGTGCTTCTTTAGATATTATTTGTGAAATCTGTTTTCAGATTCTGTCTGAAAATATTCTGTGAGCAAATTAATTGTGTATTATGTGAAGCAAATTTTATATTCTGAGAAATTATCCTGCTATTCAGTATAACTCCAGACTAGATTGCATACAAACAAGCAGTATTATACAAAATTCAAACTGGTTGTTTTAGAGCATTCAAAATATAAGTAGAAATGTGGAAATAGCTATTTCAAAAATAATTTCTGTTACATACATACCAATACCCCATCCTGTGAGGATTGAAATTTCAATTTTCTATTACATTTTCTTTAGTCCATTATACTTTATTTTAAAATCAGTTTATAATTGTTGTTTAAAATTAAAGGGCCCGAACAAAAATAGTTTATTCAGCATATAGTCGAAAATCTGCAAAAGAAGTGAGAGATAAATTGTTGGAGTTACATGTGAATTATTATGTTTTAGAAGAGGCATGGTGTGTTGTGAGAACTAAGTAAGTATTAATACTATACTATGATTTGGTATATTTTGAAGCAACAAATGTTTTATTTTATTACAATAGTCCTAATTTTTTAAGACTTTATTTAAAATAAATTCCATTATACTATTACCTTGGCATTTTACTTAAAATCATTTCAATTAGCAAAGTGAAATAATCATTTAAGGATAATCTAATTTCAAAAAATTATTATAACATCTTAGTATCTTAATTTTCATTTAGCATCTTTTATAACATTTATTTTTTTCATTGGTACATGAAAACATAAAAAATTTACATATTATTGGGGTTATGTTTTAGTACATGTATACATCATATGTTTAAAATCAGGTTAAACACATCTATCTTAAACTTAAATTTTTTCATACTTCTTTATATTTTTATGACAATTTGTATTAGATGTAAGAAATGTAGATTTGAATCTACAACAAATTGGAGTATTAACATTTTGGTACTATAGCTGAACAACACTGGATTTATAAGACTTAAGAGAAAAGTTTCTCATAACTCAAAATGACATAATAAGAAAAATATGTTACTAATTAAAATTTAAAACTTTTGAACTTAAAAAAAGAATCAAAAAACTTTAAGGTGTTTAAGGGATTCTTAAGGCCTTTCTTTAGACTCCTGAACAGAGATATTAGCTGCTATATATTACAGCAGATGTAGGCAAGTTAATTGCCTCCTAGAATGAAAATGACAAATGGGCAATCAGAAGAGCAAAACAGACTCCAGAGTCTGATGACTCCTTTAATGGCTAAGATTGAAAAAAAACTGATCATGCCAACTTTGCTAACACTGGAGTACCTACAACTCTCATACGTGGGTTGTGTGAATGTAATTTAGCATAACCATTTTGCAAGAACAGGCAGTTCATAACAACTCAAACATACACCTGCTGTGTGTATTTGCATAGAAGAAAGCATACATCCACATCAATAATTTTACACAAATGTTTACAGCAGTTTTTTTTTTATAATAGCCCAAAACTAAGAGCAGTCCAAATATCTATTAACGGGTGGATGAGTAAACACAGTATTGAAATATTTCGACCATACAGTATTACTCCTCAGTAAAAACTAGAATGAACTGCTGATACAAAGAACAATATGGGTAAATCTCAAAACAATTATGTTGAGTAAAGAAACCAGACATAAAAAAGCAAGCAAGCAATAATTCCAGAAAATGTACACAAATCTATAGTGAGAGAAACTGGTATATGGTTGCCTAGGAAGGGATGTTGATTGGGACAAGAGAGTAGAGGTGCAAAAGGGGATGAGTAAGCTTGTGGGAGAGGTGAGTATATTTAATTACATGTACATAAAATGTTCCAAAGATAAAATAATATATCAAATATTAAGAAAGATTTTTCCACCTTTTAGTCTTCTTTTATAGTTTTACTAACAATGAGTCATTAAATTGAACTAATAATTCATTTAACTATAAATAAATGTTTTGAAAAGCAAGTTTTAAGGATATACATGCAAAACCAAATCCTATTGTTAATAATCACTTTTAATATAATCCCTTTTCATTAATTTTATTTTCTAATTTTACTTGAATCTTATCTAGTTATAAGTTTTTAGCAGATATAAAAATATATGAATAATTACAAATTTCATGCTCAGAGAAAAAGACCTTGCCAGTTGGAGCACATGTTCATTTTTCTCTTTGTTCACATGGATAATTGGATGTTTTAGAAAAGATCAACTAATATTTTGAAAATAAGCATATGTAGCTGCTCCAATAAGGAGTTTTATAAATCAAAGTTTTTCTTATAAAATATAAACATCCCATTTTTAATCAGAAATTGTCAGATTGTAATGTAATTTTTATTTATTACTATCTTAAATTTTGTCTTATATTTATGGTTTCTATTGTGGCCATAGTTTCACAAGTATATACATATGTTAAATTTTATTAGATTATACACTCTAAATATGTGGAATATGTTGAATAATGGTTGATCAAGTATGCCTTAATACATCTGCTAAAATATCTTACAAGGACTTTTATCAGGAATATATAAAGAACTCTCATACATCACTAGTAAGTAACAACATAAAATTTGGCAAAATATTTAAACAAACACTTTACCAAAGAAGATATCCTGAATGACCCATAACAACACTAGAATGACTAAATTTACAAAGATGGATAATACCAAGTGTTTGTGAGAATTTGTAGTACAATTTTTAGTACAACTTAAGTCTTATAGATTATTGATGGAAATAGAAAATCATGTATTGACCTTGGAAAACAATTTTGAAGTTGCTTAAAAAGTTAAATGTACATTTAATCAAACAACATCCTACTACTAGGTGTTGCCCTAAAGTAATAACACATGTCAATACAAAGCCTCCTCCATAAGTCATTGGAAAACATTGTTTATTATTATAAAACCTCAAAGTATCTCAAATGTTTATTAGCTTGCAAATGGGTAAATTGTTGTAACTCCATGTAATGAAAGTTAAGAAATCACTGATCTGCAATATTAGCTGTAGGAGCTACAACATCTAAGGTATGAATACAAAAACATTCTAAGGAAAAGAAACCAGAAATGGGAAGCCTACCTACCTAATATATTTGGATAGGATTCTGAATTCTGTAGTGCAGAAAAGAGATCAGGGAAGCCCTGGGACCTTGCTTGGGGAAAGGGATTGATTGCAGACAATAGGGGAAAACTATTAAGTGATGGACACTTTCTATAACTGTGTTGATGTTGATACATTCTATGCACATTTGACCATACTTAAACTTTTACCATATAGGATAGGATATGAGTAAATTTTATTTTACATAAATTATACCTCAATATAAGTGTCAAAAATTAGAAACATAAAAATTAGAAATCAATTTGATTCCTTTGCAGGGTGAGAAAGATTATCTTATTTAATCCACTCTAGTGAGAAATATTTTCTTATTTAGTCTACTCAGAACCACCTAAAATAGGAAAGCATTGAAGAAAACAAACTTGACATAAGAACCTCCTTTCCCTGCCTTGGACTGTATGTTTTCATGCTAATCAGGAAATTTATGCCAAACAAATTGGGATTAATCAGAAATTTGATTAGCTTTCCTTTAATTCATCTCATTTCACTACAAATAGGCCTGTTATTTGGATGGTGATGGTGCTTGGAAAATATATTTGTTTCATTTTGAAAGTGAATTTATAAATATGTATTTTTGAATGTATACTGAACCTTTATTTCATTAAGTAGGACATGAAAATTCAACATACTTAATTTCATTTTATTATTTATAAATTTTGAGGTTGTGCTCTTTGAAATGACACTTAAGATCTTTAATTTGTTAAATAAGTTAGTGTTTGGAAATTTAGGAAATACTTTGTAATTTATGTATTTTCTCTATGCATGAATATATTTTTAATATAGATATATTTGTGTCTTTTTCAGGCCTGGTTGCAGCATGCTTGAAATCTGGGATGTTGAAGACCCTTCCAATGCTGCTAACCCTCCCCTATGTAGCATCCTGCTCAAGGATGCAAGGCCTTACTTCACCACAGTATTTATGAATAGTATGTACAGAGTATTAAAGGTTAACTAAGAATTACACTGTGGTGCAAGAGGTGTGTTGAAAACAAACATGGTTTGCCTTATTGTTTTGCCTGGTGATTTAATAAAATCACAAGCATTAAAAGAGACACTTAAAAACAAGATAATAAAAATGATTTAAAGTCTTTGATTACTAAAGGTAGATCACTTCATTGTTTTCCATTGAATGTCAGCTTTATTAAGCTTGTTGTATAAATGATTAAATCATTTTATATTGCAAAAAATGTTCATCTTAAGAGTTTTAAGGAAAAATGTATGCAAAAGAGCAATGGAATTTAATAAATCAAGGATATGGAAATCCTTTCTTATCCAACTAGGTGAATCATTTCAGGTTTTTTCTAGTACCAGGTGTATCAGCTCAGACTCCTTCAACCACTTAGAAGAATGCAGCTCTGAAATGACACTTCCTGAGACCCTGATACTGCTGACAACCATTGTACAGTCTGTGAGGAAACTCTGTGTCCATTGTGGTATTTTTTCTTTTACTAGACTTCAGAAAAGATCTTTAATAGTGTTCGAATGCTTTAAAAAAAACAGCTTGTTTTGTAATGTGCTTTCCACTGATCAGTTTTTATCCTGAGCTAAACAGGTATTAATCTGTCTTTAGAATCCAGTGGGTTTTTTTTAATCTTAAGGTAAAATGAAAATTTCTATGGCACACAATCAAATTTGGTGGTTAAACATAATCAGAAAAGAAAATCCAGTTAAATTTATCTAGTGAGATTTTCAGATGCTAGACCTTGAATCAAGCAAAGGCCTTTCTTTTCACCTTGATGGCTTGATAGCTTTGTTGGACATAGTATTTCTAGCCACCATCTTTCATAATGCATACTCATTTACTTTTGTTTTTGGATGAGGAAGGTCAGGTTTTATAACTCCTTTCCCCCTATAAAACCTATCCAACAATAATGCTTTGAAAAGAGGTAATTATCAGTTGCCAATTGCAGAGTAACATTCTTTTTCTCTGCTTGATAAATATTAAATATGCCAGCTCTGCAGTATTTTAATGTGCATTCAAGTTAATCATCTTGTGATAATAAAACATACTTATGTTCTTGTGATAACAAAATGATTTAATTCCATAGATTAGTTCACTTATAGAAGGCAAGCAATCACACATAGAAAAAAACATTAAAATTGCTTTTCAATCTTTGTAGTTTAAAATATTCAGTATAGAATATAAAACAGCTAAGAAAGTATGCACAATTCATTTATTTTAGAATTTTCGAATAAATTCCTTTTGTAAGTGTGGAGCAAAGAAGGAAAAGTGACATAACAACTAATATTCATAAAATTCAAGAAACACATTTTGGATGATGTTTTCATAGGTCATATTTTTAAAAAATTGGCAGAATATGGCAAAAATGGATGAGTTTATTAACTATAAAATGTTCTATGTACATATAATGATTTCATGTGGATTTTTATTTTTCTGTCCTCTGTATGGTAAATAATTAAAAATACACTTGAGATTCTTTGTGTTTTCTATCTTCTGATCCTTAATCAAGCATACATTTTGAAATTGAAAGAGTTCTGATATAAGGCAGAAATTGGAGATTGCTGGATTTATTAGCCAAGTTTACATTGGCAATGGCCTTTATTAGCTATTTTAGACAATTCTGCATAGCTGCAGCTATAAGAGAAGGCACTGTGATGGAGATAGTTTGGCCTTTGTTACAAGATGGACCAAAGTTTGAATTCTGGCTCTTCTATATTAGGATATATTAGGTATATCCATCCATTTAAACATACTTATTAAGTGCTATGTGTGCCATGCACTGTAACCAAGCTCAGTCATGTTGCTTAATTCTCTAGTTCAGCGAAACTAGTATCCTATAATAACTTTTTTTGCAAATTGATCTGAAACCACGACTAGGAGTGAACTGTACATAGGCTGCAGCAATCCCCTCCATCATCCAGCTCTCAGGAATTGATGCATGACTTCAACAAATAATATGTGTGTTCTACCCTTTTATAGCTGATAGATACCACATCCAAAATATTAATCTTAATCAAAATGAAATTATATGTTTATATTTTCTGTGCTTCTGTTGTATAAGTAACATACTCACTGAAAATTAATTTTGGAAAAGATTGGAAATTTGAAAAAAAGGGAAAATATTGTAAGCTGTATTAAAATCTCATAAATGTTGTTCATTCTTTTTGAGGGGGGTACTGGGGATTGAACTCAAGGAACACTCAACCTCTGAGCCACATCCCCAGCCCTATTTTGTATTTTATTCAGAGACAGGGTATCACTGAGTTGCTTAGTGCCTTGGTGTTATTGAACTTGAGATCCTTCTGTCTCAGCCTCCTAAGCCACTGGGATCATTCTTGTTTTTTTTTTTTTTTTTAACCATTTTCTTCTAACAGTTTTAAACTATTTTATGCTTTTCTTTTCACATATAAACATGTAAGTGCTACATTGTTGTAAATAGACAACTTAATGACTATATAATATTCTGTTTTGTATAATCATTTATCACTTAGTGATATTTGATATATTCTGAAAAATGTGTTGTTAGGCAAGTTTGTCATTGTCTGAATATCACAGAGTATACACAGACTAAGACAGCTGCAGCATAACTATAATTTATATCATATAATCTATGGGAACACTGCTGTGTATGTGGTTCATCACTAACTGAAACATCATACAGCATGATACTGTGTGTGTGCATAATTTAACCATTTCTGAGGTATATCCATTTTTGCTACTATTGTACAGTCATACATTCCTTAACTATAGGTATATGTACTGAAGGATGAGTCACTGGGCAACATCCTTGTTGTGCAAACACCATAGAGTATACAGACATAAACCTAGGTGGTCCAGCCTCCTAACACCTAGGTATATGGTAGAGCTTGTTGCTCAAGGCTACAAACCTGTGCAGCATATTATAGTCGTGAATGGGAGGCAATTAGAGAACAATGGTAAGTATCCATATTTGTAAACATAGAAAAGCTATGATAAAGATACAGTATGAAGGATTGAACATGATGCAGCTGTATAAGACACTCACCATGAATGGAGATTGTAGGATTCAAAGTTGCTCTGGGTGAGTTGGTGAGTGAATGTGAAGGCCAAGGACATTCCTGGACACACATATAGACTTCATAACAGTACCCTTTGGGTATGCTACATTTATAAGAAACATTTTTATTTCTTCAATAATAAATTAACATTTTTGCTGTATAAACTTTTTTATTTAAATCTTTGGCTCTTCTGTAAGAACATTACATGAAAATAAACACAGTTGCACAAAAACATTTATATCCTTATTCTATAAGGATTTTTTTCCTATTTAATTTTTGGGGGGCCTTTAAAACTTTTTTTGTTAAAAACTAAAATACAGTTAGCCCAAGCCTGCACAGGGTCAGTATCATCAACATCACTGTCTTCCACCTCCACATCTTGTCCCTCTGCAGGTCTTTAGGGACACCAACACTATGCAGCTGTCATCGCCTATGGCCTCAACACCTTGTTCTCAGGCTCTTGAGGAGGTGGTACTCTTCAGAAACATGTCCATGGGGGCTTGCTAGCTTCTTTTTCCACCATAGATTTGCTTGTAAGTAGATAGTGCACCAGGGAACATTCCTATTAACGAAAACCTTTCAGGCTTGAAGTCCATGTTTTCACACTTTTTAAGGAGATTTTTGAGGTCTGCAAAAGCTTTTGCTATGCCCTTCACTATGAACTTCCAGTTTTTTATCTTCCCTAGCAGTTTCCTTTTCTGTTGCCTCCTCTTTAGCGAAGGGTCCCTGTTCCAGTTCAACAACTCATTAGTTCCTCAGGAACCACCCCCAGGAGCTCCTCAGTTGCACCCTCCTCCACAGGCAGGGTACAGGTGTTTCTCATCTCAACCTCAAGACTTGTTGAGTTTTGCAACCTCTTCCTCCGTAGCAAATTATTTGAAGTGATGGACATACTTAAGTATATTCTTCCAGATGCAGATGTCATTCATGTTCTATTTGGTGACATCACCTGTAGCCCAGGCTGACTCTTGATGTTGTCATAGTTGTGTAATCCTTCTAGAACTGCAGCAGTGTCTTCTTGGTGTCATCCTTAGTTGCAGCAACAGCAACAGAGGTCCTGCTCAAATCACTATACATATTGTGCTATACTTTCATATGACTGGCAATGTATTAGATTTTTTTTTATATATGACAGCAGAATGCATTACAATTCTTATTACACATATAGAGCATAATTTTTTATATATCTGGTTGTATACAACCAGATATATAAAAAATTTTTTATATATCTGGTATGTATACATAGTATATTCATACCAATTTGTGTCTTCATAACTGTACTTTGGATAATACTGATCATCACATTCCACCGTCATTAATAGCCCCATGCCCCCTCCTTCCCTTCCCACCCCTCTGCCCTATCTCCTTATCATAGGGAGATAGGGAGCCTCTCTATATCAAAGAAAACATTCAGCATTTGGCTTTTGGGGATTGGCTTACTTCACTTAGAATTATTTTCTATAACTCCATCTCCCTGCAAATGCCATGATTTTATTCTTTTTTATTGCTGAGTAATGATTTCTTTACACCAGTTTCACCAAAAACATGAGTAATGTGCTACATCGTAATAGCTACAGTGTCACTAGACAGGAATTCTTCAGTTCCTTTATAATCTCATGGGACCACCATCATGTATGTAGTTCACTGTTGACTGACAGTCATGTGGCACATGACTCCATGTATAAAGCACTGTAATGCATGCTGTGATGCATTCAGATTTTTCTGCTTCAAATTTGTTTCCATAGGATAGATTTCATAAAATTAAATTTCATTAAAAGAATGTGGATACCCTTAAAGCCTTCAAGGCAGTTTGCCCTAAATTACGTCTGCAGAAGGATTATATTCCCCACTAAAAGTTGATGTGTGACAGTGCTCATTTTACAGCACTCAAGCTAGCATTGGTCAGCCTTTTAAAAAATACATTTCTTGCTAATTTTTTAGACCCTATGTGATATT